TTCATCAGCACATTTGGCTCCCACGCATTCCCGTAAAATCCTCTGATATCATACAAACGCCGGTTGTCAGGGCTGAAAGTCAAGTCAAGGACGGCGTCCTGAGAAGTCAACTGATAGATGAGAGCAAGGTCAGATGTGATATAGACCTTCACGGTCCCACGTCCATCACCAGTTGCGAGGAGATTGCCGTCCCCACTAATTGTTAGCTTAGATGCCCCTATTGCCATCTCGACAATCTCACCATTGTAAGGACACCACTTGAAGAGCACCCCTTCAACGTAAAGCCCCAGAAGTTCCAAAGAGTGCGGTCGCCAAACAGCGTCTACCACCTCGCCTCTGGCAACTCCTTCTCGAGTTTTGCGCCAACAATGACCTAAGTGCACTGGACCGTCTAACTCCCACGCTGAGAGTGGATGACCTCGATAGGCCACAGCGATCAATGTCCCATCCTCGTTCAAGGCCATATAGCTTGACGAGTTGAGAAAGTGCCCCTCGAGCTCTGGTTCTTCCAGTTCTGCTACAAGCTCCCAGGTCGGGAATTGTTGTTTCAAGTCAAGCGACCGTATTCGCCTATCTTCGGCGCCGACGATTAGAGTGGTGTTATTACTTGTGAATAACATAGAGAGTGGCCGAGGTCTTGACTGGAGGTTGTCAACCGAGACTATGCAGTTTCCTGTAGATATTTCCCATATTTTGGTCGTCCGGTAGCCATAGGTAGCAAGTAGGGTAGCCGCGCTGTTTAGCTCCATTCGATACACACGCTCGCCATGTTCGATTGGAGAGACCATCTCCTCTTCAAAACTTGAAGAGTCGTGTATGAATACGCTTCCCGATGGGGCTAGGATAGCGACTAGAGCCCCAGATGCCTTGATCGACGACGCATAGGTGCCAGACCTAAGAGATATGCGCGAAAGCGAGTCATCCCAATCTTCAGTAGATATACCAGATATTGCAATGCTCCTCGCCTCTGCTTTCCCAAAGAGTTGGTAGATTGAAGAATTCCGAGGGCAGAAAGGAGGGATGAGTTTGTATATCGCCTCGGGGTTTCTCCTTAAGTTTGCGCCAAACTTGCCTACCAACTTCACAAAGTCTATAGACCAACTCTCAAGAAGCTCCTGTCTCACGATATGGTATGTTTTGTCTTTTTGCGCTGCGTTTCCTCGCTGTCGTTCGAGACAGTAGTCCGAGAGGATTTTGGAAGTTTGCACAAGTATTCTCTGCTGGTTATTAGCCGCGAGGACTTGTACCCATGTTAAGACCCAGTGGCCGGTCAAAAACTTTTTAAGCACCTTGCCGACGGGTGCAGAGTCAGGAGGAGTTGATATCAGGTGTGATGACCACCAGTTTGAAGCATAGATAGCGAATTCTGGTACTTGATTTCGGTTCACCTTTCCTCGAAGACCAATAGTCATAAGACACTTCATACAGCGCAAGAACATATGCTCGTGGGCTCCACTAGGATCAACATGGAAAGGGTGATTGTCACCACTGAGCAAGTACTCCCGAGCGGTTTGGTGTATCATTGAAACGTGGCCACCGTTATCAATGACAACGAAGCCGCCGCATAGATCCAAGATCGACCGTTCAAGATCCAGCAGGTCAGACATTTCTTCATCCAGCACCTGTGCTAGGTCTGTAATCGTCAATTCATGAAATGAACATGTGACGCATTGTAAAATGTTTGATGCCACGAACTTATTCGTTGGTGATGGGTTCTGTGCGATCGACGACGCCATACGATCATAGATTGCTTCCATACCTATCGGTAATTGTTGGAGTGCGAGCTCGACATCAGCGAGTCTATGGCATAAATTCAGCTTGTCTACAGCAAGTCGTATCCACTGGAAGATTAGTATAGGAATTTACGTGAAAAGAGTTAGAAGTAATAGGAACTTTCTCAACTCACGAGAAAGTTGTTCTGGGACCCTTCCACGATCCGTTTTATTATCCCCTCTCTCAATTCAGAGCTACCAGCCATGCTAAGCTCTTGACGAACATAGCACTGTAGGTCATCTAGATGGCCTTCAATGCTTATCATCCCTAGATTGAGGGAGCTGGGGACCTTTTGAAAGGCGGATCTGATCTCTGAGGTGTTGCGTCCTATGAGCATGATCCGAAGCGGAACAGAGGAGCATGAAATGTCTGAGAGTAGCTTGATAATTGCCCGTGGGTCGTGTGCTTCATCGAGTCCGTCTATGATCCAATACAAGGGTTTCCGCCCCTCCATATTGAAAAGAATCGACTTGAAAATGCGCTCCCAAATTGTCCTAGGATAGGCTGTTTCATAGTCAACGGCTTCATCGGCTAGCTCAAGGAGCTTTTGTAAGAAGCTTGAGGTGACTTGGGCTACTTGAAAAGCAATTGAACGTAGCAGCAAACTCAGAGTTCGCTTCTTCTGATCGGCAAATCTGATGAAGAAATATTGGCAGCAAGCTCCTCGCCCAATCAGGTTGTTGATAATGAACGAAGACAACACCGACTTGCCTGTTGCGGCTCCGCCGTTTAGCCATAGGAGACGAGACGTTGGTTCAGGAGATTGGAACCATTCGACGAAATTTTGCTCTTGGAGAATCCATTCGCATGTCCCATTTGCCCATTGGTCTCGGAAGTAGCTGTAGTCAGTGGCCGGAAGCTCCGTGATGGCCAATAAAGACTTCAGCTCACGTAATTCCCTTTGGCTTGATAGCGCAGGGTTCTTGAGATTGTCCGGTGAACTGATTTTGCCGAGGAGAGACATGAGAACGTTCCGGACAGCAATGTAGTTGGGATCCTTTGGACTTTCGTATTTGCAAATGCCGTGGTGATCTGCGTCCAGTGCTTTAGAAACTTCGCCAGGGTATCCCAGTATAGAGGAATCCTTTTCTAATATCATCTTTACAGCGTTAGCAGTAATTTGGGTGATTTCGAGACTCCACCTACAATTCGAGCAAGCATGATGGGGGTAGGCTGGGTTTCGTAGAACGAAATAATGTCAAGTTGAGGTGCAATATGACGAAATTGCTCATTCAGCCTTTGCAGGGCCAATGAATTCTTCGCAAGATCAGAAATGTATTGCTTCGGATTTATAACCATGGTCGACTGGAGAATCCGGTTCAACGATTCCGCGAGAAGTGTGCCGCGATGTGGTGTAGCAAGGAAGATGATCGCAGAGATGGCTTTAACGATGGATTCGTACTCGGGGTCGATTTGCCCTTGGATATATGCCTTCAAATCATGAGCATGCAACATCGGGAGTGAATTAGTATCCTACCTCCTTAACGATAAGCCCGCCCATACTATGCACGACAAATATCAGTGGCACCTGGTGTCCAAGTTAGATCTGTCCCAAGTCACGATGTCTAAATCATACTCACACTTCCCATGTTCAGATCCGCCTTCTCCTCGTCTTTTGCGTACTTGAGCTCAAACAATAGTTCTTTAGCAAAGTCTAGTATCGAAGTGCTCACACTCCCAGCCTTGCGGAAATTGGCGTTATAGCCGAAGGTCAATATTCTAGCTAGGCAGATGCCAGGCTCGAGGGGCAGAAATGTCGACGGCCAAAACAATTCTGGATCTCGATGTTTTGACCATGTCTGCCGGCTTGTTCCCCCAAGCCCATGGATAAAAATAATATCCGCTTTGTGAGCATTTTGGGGCATATATACGACAGTTAGACCAAGCGGGCCGGGTTCGTTCTCGACGTTCCGTTGGGATTGAACATTGCTAGTAGTTGCTATGGGCTTCGATAAACAAGGACCCGTTACAAAACCAACTTGATCTCCCTGAACTTGACCTGAGGCACTAGATGGGCTTGAGTTTGAGCTTCGAGATTCAGACGATGTCCGATGAAATCGCTCTATACGACCTTCATCACGATCTTTCTTTCTAAATTTAGATAATTTTCGGAACTAGGAAAAGGTTACTTTTTGAAGTCCTATAGATCGAATTAATGACTGACCATGATTCACGGATATCTTGCCCCAATGGTGCCAGGTACATTGATCCTTTGATGCTGGCGGCCGCTGACATTAAAGCGTGGCATATATCACGAAGCCACGTGACGCAAAAAGTGACAAATAAAATGTGAGACACTCTAATAGAAGCTGCATGTGCTGAGCCCATGTCTTGCATTATGAGCCACGTACTTTCGTTTAACGAATCGCTTAACGAGTAATTGGCGAAAGATCCGCGCTTATGTAACATGTGAGTACGCAGATCCTCCACGACAGAAGCTGTAGCATAGGAAATATCTTGCCGGCTTAGGCGCTGAGGCGCAATTCGAGCGAACCCGCACTAAAATTGGGGGCCAAATCTCACTACATTCACCTTTACTTATAGCAAAAGCTTCGAGCTTGCCTTAACTCATTGGATCCTTTCAAAGTTTTACTTCAGTCTTCCTATATTTGTTTAAGTTAATATCTGGGTAGGTACCTAAGGTATGAAAAAATGTCTTCAGACTCCTTTGAGTGGATGCTAACTTCAAAGTTCCACACCAACAAGTCGGTTTTCGAAAGTACCTCCTAGGTATGCAGCTTCACCAACATCATGTCAAATCCTCAAAAACTAGTAGAGGAATGGGACGACCGCAGCCGTCTCTTCAACATTCATCCGTATCTGAATAACTCAGCTGGATCCCCGAGAAGTATCCCAGGAAAATTGTAGGTGTCATCCCCCCAAAGTCTTACGTGTTTTGGTGAATAACAGAGCCTCCAACAACGTGCTATATCTACTCAGGTATGTGAGACATACGGCCCCGTAGGTAGCTTTGAGAAGTACGACCCAGAAATAGATACCGGCATTCCAGGAGCACATATCCCATTTGTCATGAAGCAGTTAGAATAAGAATGGCTACAAATTACTATTTGTTGGAACAAGAATAAGCTGCCTGAGCATAAAGGTAGAATGCCATGCTTATCTGGCTCCTGCAACGAATAGATTTGTACAAGGGGAGAAAAGAAAGCATAATGTACGAGAAGGGTTCGGAAGGTAAACAAAAAAAAAGGCCCCCAAGAAAGAAATTGTGCCATACCCGGGGTTTGAACCCAGATCTGCAAAGACTTACGAGGCCGCTGTGCTACCTTTACACCAGTATGGCTGAAATATGATACCGCGTTATAACCAACTAGGCCATCAAGGCTATCATGCCATTTGTTGAAGAGAGCTGCTGTTAATCTGCCTTGAGGACTGCACCGACACCATCCTCAGGGCGACAGTCAGTCGATAATTGCCTCTCTCGCCGGGCGAAAAAGTATCGTCGACCCTGCTGAGCCCGGTGGATGCTAGGTTGGTTCCTAACACGGATTCACATGCCTCCTGTTCGTCGTGCTAGGACATTCTTGCACTTCTTCCCTCTTTTCTGTCTTTATAAACCTCCAATGAACCACCAGGATAGTCTTCTAAATATACTGCTTGTCTAAGAAGATGACGTTCTTGGATTATAGTAAGTGATTCAAGGGAAGGCTCTATCTAAGCGAAGTGTAACTCTAGGCTATACCTCAACCTGATACTGGCTTCGGGAGACAACGATATCCTGTAGGGCTATGTGGGTGCTTGAAACCAGGATAGAAGGAATGCGTAAGTTCTTCATCTGGGTTCCCTAATTCTACGAGGGTTTCGGTACCTAGAATGAATATCGTGTAAAGGGTATTGAATATATGTTGGAAACTTAAGCGGCCATTGTGGGTTAAGTTACTAAAATATATACTCTCCTATTGTATTTATATTGTTGACTGAGATATATTATAGCTATTAGTAAGCTTTGCGCATCACTTGTAAATTCTTGGCTATGTCTAGGATTTATCCATAGGAAGAACTTGATTTTATATGATTAATGATTCTACCTAGGTAATCAAGCCAATTGTTGCTGGCATCGCCTAACTAGCTGGTTGGAAATGTGTATACTTTCTTGATAAATGAATGACTGGAGTATTAGTATATTTCATACGATATACTTACCTTACATCTAATCGTTCCCTATCTCTGACCCCATAATCACAACTTCGAATACGTGCGTTTGAGTTGATGCCCCTTTAACCCCCCCTTTAGCCCCCTTTTCGTCTACTGTACGCTTCCACTTGTTCTATATCTTAATCTAACTTCTTACACACGTCGTGGAAGCACGCTGAATATTACTAGTATGTTTTATGAAACAATTCCTTATGTTAGCTATGTATGACCAGTAGATACGGAGTCTGTTAGCCAAGTTCATACCGCAGTATTCCAGCAGTGACGAGATGTCACTACCAGTTAAATTCGGCATGCACAGTGCAATTTAACTCGATTCACATCTTGCAGCACTGACCACACCGCGTAATCTGATTACTAATGCCGAAGGTTTTATGAATCGGGCACTTTTCGGAGTTACGACGCTCGGAGGTACATACAGTACACCCGGAAACTGGGGGGAACCAGACGCAACGAACGAACCACACACCCTTAAGAGAAGAAAAGAGCGCGAGAAATCCTGTAAAGCTCAAAGCTGAGATGGCTTATGCTAAACACGATACCCTTCGAACAGGTGGTAACCCTGTTCTAACATTAATATGTCTTTACGACCGTTAGCCAGAGGTGCGTGGTGGAGGCGCGTCGCCTCCACGAGAAGAAGTAATCCGATTTCCCTCACGACAACGACACGGCAATGTCTCAATACGGTTCCGAAATGTCCAGAGCCGACATGCGACTGCGCTGATACACCGTCGATGCCATGGGGCCAGAGCATTGATAGGAATGCCAACTTGAACGGGCTCATAGCCGCCTATGCGCAGCAGGTCTTAATCTGCACTGGCAAGGACGACTGGACGTCGCGCATAGAGGAAGATAACAGCGGCGACAACTTAGCTGCCGATCTCAAGGAATTAGTCGGTCGAGGAGGCATGTATAGTGATGTGAGTTATGTTACTCGGCCCTCTGGAGGGACTGGCTAGCCGATCCTATGTGCGGTCCCCGGACACTATGGAATATGTTCATGTTAGCTAACGGTAAGTGATTCTGTAGCCTTTTCACAACATTTCCATCATAAACGCCTCTTTCCCCTCCGCTATCTCCAGACGGCCAGAGGTACAGACCACGTCTGTCTACCTGCTACCCAGCTTCAAATATATCCCGTTCCTCCCGAGAGTATCATTTGACTCCGTGCAAGCTCTGGTAAAGGGCTATTTGCTCCCCGAGAAGCTTCACCCTATGCACGATGGTCTATCACCGATACATAAAGACCGGCTACTAAAGAAGGAGGCGTATCAGCATATGCTATACGGCGTGCGTGACGTGGAAGACGTGTTAGTCTTAATCTGTGGGCACGGACAACGAGACAAGAGATGTGGCATATATGGCCCTATTCTGCAAGAGGAGTTTGAGAGACAGCTTCCCCGAGCAGGGATAGATGTCCTCCAGGGGCCGGCAGTCGACGAGGGCGTCTCAGCGCCGCAACTCCCTGGCACCACAGGACCGGACTTAGAAGCGGAAGCGCGGCACACAGCAAGAATAGGCCAGATCAGCCACATCGGAGGTCACAAATACGCAGGCAACGTCATCATCTACTTGCCACCGCGCCTGAAGAATAGCGCTGGTAACCCACATCCCCTAGCCGGACACGGGATCTGGTACGGGAGGATAGACCCCAAGCATGTGGAAGGGGTGATCAAGGAAACCATCATAAGTGGCAATGTCATTGCCGACCATTTTAGAGGCGGGATCAAACAGAACGGGGAGATCCTTAGATTATAGACACTGTATTTAGAAGTCCCAAGACGCCACTCCGATCCGATAGACTCACGGTCTTGTATATTATTCTCAGACTCTCCGATCCTTCCATCTTCTGAACATCGCAGCTCGCAAGTGTGTATTAGACAAAGGAATCAAACTGTATATACATGAACTAAGCTGCATAAAAACATCCAAGGCCACTTTACACAGCTTCATACATTACCACATATTGCACTCTGGAATATCGATATGCGATTTGTGGTTTGGTGGTTCAATCTGCCAGGTGTCATTGATATGTCTGCACCTGGCATTCAGACCGCTATACTACCTGGTAGCTGACAACATCAATTTTCATCAACCTTCTCATTGATAGCTCACTTACTCCTTACCCGCACAACTGTTCTATTCTTACTCCTAATTGAGTATCCGCCAAACCAAAATATGAATTGAAATCGATGAATAACTACTTTGCAATAAAATGGACCGGCCGGATAGGACCGCGCCTCTTCTCGGGCTCACAAGCCGCCCGGCTTAAATCTAGCCAACTGATCACAAGGAGTCAACGATGCCAGACGCCATCACATGTGGCCCCTTTTCTCCTTTCTCTCAACCGCCAGTCCTTCTCGAGTCTTCCAGCTCAACGAAGTAGCGAGCCTCAAAATCCCCCAACAGGAGAACTACGGACCAAACGGTACTCGAAGGAAGAGACGCGGCGGCAACTGATCCTTTTTAACCTCGCCGGCATCTTCGCAATCGTGGTAATGGGAATCTCGCTCAAAGGCGCAAGTTCTAGCAATGGCAGCGATAAAAAGGCTGTTATGAACCAGACGTCTTTCAGTTCCTTCACCATCACCTCCAAGGAGCAAGTCTCGCCCACGGCGTTCGTCATGAGCGTTCGCGCGGGAGGCGCTTCGGATGATCGGTCCGCGGGGTTGCTGAAGGAGGCCTGGGAGCACGGGCTCTGGTCCGTCGAGATCAAGCAGCCGCAGCTGCAGATTGCGCGGCACTACACGCCTCTGCCTCCTCTCTCTCAGCCTGAGACTGAATCCGAGTCCCAGTCAGCGCCACGCGAGGAGGAACTGCGGTTCCTAATCCGTAAGGTCGACGGCGGCGAGATGTCGACGTACCTCGGCAAGCTACGCGTCGGCGACGAGGTGTGGCTGCGCGGACCGCACCTCGGCTTCGACGTCGACCGGCGGTTAGGCGCCGCGAAGGACGTCGTGTTTCTCGCGGGCGGTACGGGGATCGCGCCTGCGCTGCAAGTTGCGCGGAAGCTGCTGGACTGTGGATCGAGAGTTGAGGAAAAGCCCACTATCTCGATATTGTGGGCGAACCGACGGGCTGCCGATGCTCTAGGGCGCGAGCAGCAACGGCATCATCTCCCGACTAGCAAAAATGGCTGGTTCTTCTCAAACTGGTGGCGTGGAACAGCCCCGCCAAGTACGGATGAAAAGAACGAAGGCGAAGACCAAGGGACGAATTCATCACTCACCCTGCAAATTCACCAGCTACGGCAGAAGCACCCCAAACACTTCAACATCTCCTACTTCGTCGACGAAGAGGGCAGTGTCATTCGACTCAAGGACCTCCACGCCGTCTTACACGCATCTACACCACCACCACAGCTTCTCCCCGCCCGGGCGTTCTGCCCGTGGCACTCAGCCACGGCTCTCGAGAGCATCCCCGACGAGAACGACGCCGAGCGCCGTGGCTTAGAGTGTGTGTGCGCGCGGGACGTCGCTGCGGGGACGGGGCCGAGACCCGGGGCGAACCTGATCTGCGTGTCTGGGCCCGACGGCTTCATCGAGGCGTACGCCGGCCCCAAGCGCTGGCACGCCGGCTCCGGGATGCAGGGACCTGTGCTCGGGATGCTGGGGCGCGTGCTGAAGGACGGTGAAGCATGGGGGAACTGGCTTGTTCTTAAGCTATGAGGGACTGGTTGGACATATTTCGCCTCGTTATTATAGCGTATACCGTATGCGATGTACATTGTCCCTAAATCTTTGGTGCCTAGAATAGATACCTGTATCGAATATACCTAAGAATTGTATGATATACCCTACTTTAGGGACATAGAACAGAATCTAGAGCAAATCGGTGTACATCAAGGAGCTGGTTAGGTACCTAGGTAGGTACTAAAGAACTGCTTTCCAGAATATCCATATAAATTACTCGCAGATGTATGCGAAGACTACGGACATGTTTAACTCGACGAACTTCAATAGTTCTCTTACCATGGTTATTTGTACAAATCATCATTGCCGACCAACCAGACCTCCATGCCTCCGTACAGTGAATTAGAGCCCCTCTTGGTCTTATTTAGTTTCAGTGAGTGTCGGGGAGCTGTTATACGTAAAAAGCATTGTTGCTGTACTAGGACTACTTTAGGGGAAA